ATTATAGAGCATAAAATTTAATTTGTCAAAGAGCCACATAACAGCTATTCGTGCTATGTTTGAAAAAGTTCTTTTACTTGAGTCTGTGTGGAGGTATGTTCAGATTTCCAAATAAGGAAATTACCCAAATTTCTGAAATTTCCATCAGCTAGATAACTGTATAGCAGTGCAAATCAAAAGTTTTTAGACATATTGGAAATTTCAGTAATTTTAGTAATTCCTGTCGTTTCAGAAATTTCTGTAAGTGCATAATTGCGAAAATTTCAGAAATTTCGGAAATTACATTATTTTAAGAAGTAACGTAAAATTCAGAACACAAATGCTTGACATCTCCGAAACTTCTGAAATTTCCTTTTTCAGAAGTCTGAACCCTGCTGATTTCAAATGATAAAACGGACATTAATTTTGATGTACAGCGAACATTTCGATGAAGCAGATGCAATGAATTTGATTTTTAATCAAATTTATAGAATTGCTTTAATGATAATATTCGTTTTCTTCAGATATAAAATCATTCTAATATTTTTCTCTTGAATCATATTTTTAGAATAATTATTTTTATTAATTTATTTAATATGATTTAGATAAAAATCATTATTTATTTTATATTTCCTGGCGATGAATAGATACTTGCCATCATGTGAGAGATTCGATACTTTATATTCTGTAAAAATTATAGAAAAATTGTTTTTTTTTATCGTTTGTAAATATATTTTAGTAAAACAAAATCGTTCATAAATATTGAACAAAAAAAGGTTGACTTTTTCTTTCTCAATGAACTCAAACCATTTAGATTTGGTGAACGTTGGTAATAAGTACGAGTTTGTGTTTGGGTTGACTTTGCTACTAAGTCTAATGGAATAATTGAAAATTGAAACTTATATATTTTACGAAGGAAACTATAGTCAATGTCAGATGTACAGTAAATTGGGTCTTGCAACTACAGACTGACTTGCAAAAAGTACTCTTCCTTTCGGGACCAGGACTGCAAACTTGAAAATCTTCAGGATCGGAAGCAAAAAAAACTACTATTCTTCCATCACTCTCTGTCCGATACATGCAATGATATTGATTCGACAAAATAAAACAACATAGAGCTGATCCTTTGAATTCACTTACCGTTTTCTGAGAGATAGAACTGGTCACGGTAACTCTAGGAAACAATGGTCTGAATCTCGTTATAGTTATTCGACCCTTGATATCGACGGTCATTCAACAGAAGAATTTGCGCTTTCTCTAAACTCTACTGCTAAAATCTTTCCCGTCTGAACCTACTAGTAAAATTTAGAGTCAGTGCTTACGGTGATTCTCGATTCTTATTCTCCTATGATTGAGTGTTTATCTCACAGATGGATAAAATCAGGCAAAACAGAATGAATACTTTCTTTTGTGAAAATCGAAGTTGACTTGCGAAAGTTATTCCTTTTTTAGGTCACTTCGCTAACGCTACTTTTCTTTTTACGATAACTCCTTTCAGCAAGAGATCTTTAGAGCGATTTTTTTCAATGTAAAATAGAATAACTTAAAATTAGCGGCAGTCAAGTTCATTTTCCAATATTATACATATGTTTAATTTTTGCGAAGTCACGTCGTTAGTAAATGATTTTGCTCATATTTTCTTTCATATAGTAACTTTTTTCAGGAAACGGAAGTTTATTTTCGAAAGAGAGAGAGCAGAATGGCTAACGAAAGGTAAAATAAACTCTAAGTTAATAAACTGTTGTGCACTCAAATACCGCATAAAAATACATCTAAGATCTGAATTCAGAATGTATATTTGACCTTATCGCTTACGTAACATGAAATTTCTATTAAAATAATAAACATAACATTTCGTTCATTGCTCTCTGCATTCTTCAACTTTGAAAGGAAAATTTTATCGATCAATAAAGCGTACAGAGAAAAAATAAATCTTCGCAGAAATCAGTTTATGTCGCAATTGTGTTGTTCGTCTAAAGATCTTTGAATAGTAATGGCAAGCTATTCATCATCTGTCATATTTATCACATTTGGCTGTTGAAAGAGTTCTCTTAAGGTTAAATTTTGAACAGGAGCATTTCGACAAATATCAATAAAAAATTTCAGTAAGTCTTTTTCTTTTTCATTCGTGCATTGCTGCATTTCGGGTCCATCCGAAAATAACATTTTGATAATTTTGAAAATCTTCCATATTACATTGTGCACCTTATTCCGATAGGAAAGTATTAGATGAAATATTTTCATTCATAGCTGTAAGAATAATACCAATACCGAATAAACCTTCTACAAAATCAAGAGTATTTTCTACATTTACAGTTTCATCCCAAATTAGTTCTGCAGAGAGTATATCTGTTTAAATTTTTTTCCAATTTTCATAATTTCCATCTAATCTACGTAGCGTATTGAGAATAGTCAATGTTTCACTCATATCAATTTCATCATTATCAATAATTATTTGTAATGATTCTAAACTAATCCATTGTCGTTTAAGTTGTTGATAATCACGAAGAGTACAAATAATATCTTTCGCTTTCACTTGATTCAAAAAATTAGCAATATTCTCATGATATTTATTTCGATAGAATTGTTGATCCGTAGCAGAAAATATTTCTGTCGTGTTACATTGGGAACAATATAGTGTGAACAATCTTGTTTCTCCAATAAATCGATAGCATATTGAAGCCATTTTTGTGCTAATATTTCTTCAGTATCCGAAGAAAGATCTATTCTTTTAAAACTTTAAAATAGATACTTCGTGCAATTCCATTTAGAATTCGTTCATTTATCGAACGTTGTTGAGCAAGTATTAATTCGATAGCAGAAAAATCTCAATTGAAGTGATGGAACAAAATCAGCATCGATTAGTACACACGATTTAAAATAATTTGCTACATCTGTAATATTGTTCGGATTACCAATATGTGCATATCTATCATAGAAATCAAGAATAGTTTGAATACGAACCAGAGTTACTTGTGATAAACTATATCCATACGCAGGGCCTACTAAAGTGAGAAGATCACGAAATGTTTGTTTATTGATATGTTTTCTTTTTCAAACATCGATTGCAGCGGCGCAAGATCTTTTTTCAGTTGAAATCCATTGAGATACTGAACACAATTTGCATCATCTTGAGATATAAGTTGAGTATTTCCGATAGGTTCGATTCCATCATCGAATTTAATTCGAACAAACCCTGGATTTTTTTTTCTAACTGATATAAAAACTGAATAGTAATTTGTATTTAATACTTGTCTTTGTATTGGTAAAAGACTCGTATAAGAGAAAAGAAAAAGTAAGAAGTCTTGAATAGCGTAATTCTTTATTGCTACTGTCATATTGTGAGCGAAACATAATAAAACTTAGTTGATGAAAGAACATCATATCCTTGGAAGTGAATTTATCAGGCTCATTTTCAGTCCTCCATTCTTCTGGCAATTTTAGAGAATGGAAGAAATTAATGTCTGATATTGTCTGAATTATTTTTGACGGATGAGATCCAATGATTCGTTTCTGGCTGGTATTCTATTTGTTTTTCGTGTCATCCGATGCACGATCATATTTAAAAAAGCAAAATAATATCCATGCTCAGCCGACTCCGGCCTAATTATTCTAGTTAGATGCAACATTAATATCTGTTATACACAAAGACTCAGATAAATATTACAATTTTGAGTAGTTAAACCACACTAAATACATATTGTCTAGCAGCAAACAGTTCCGTGACAATGTTCGGTTGGGTGTAGATATTACTGAAAACAATAGCAACATCCACACTTAACACCCACACCCTCTATATACAATGTAAACATATCGAAGGATAAGTGCATTTTCTACAGAATTAACAACAGAGATTGATTTTCCACAAAAATGAATAGTCCGATCTGAACAATAGAAGATTTCGGCTCCTGTTTACAAGTGATTAATTCTGATTCTGTGGAACAGCTTCTTATGCAGACTCTATCAATGACTGACCAAATCTATTCTCTGATAACTTTAATCATGCTGATTATTAAAAGTTCAATATTTCTGAAATATGGAGAGACCTAAAATTATCTGTAGTATCTTGTAGCATATTTAAAACTTTGGTGAAACTATCTTATAAAAATGTTCAATCATTTTTGTATTGTGTTAGCATCACTATTCGACAGTTGAGTAATGATGAACTTACAATTGAATCTTTCAACTGCCCTTTTCGCTCTTCAAAAAAAACAGCAAATAAAAATGTTCTATTTTCATGGATCATCTCTGTTAATTCGATACGCACATTCGTTTATAAATACGACTTTATTTCTTGATTAAATGAAATATCATAGCCGGCAAACATCGAAATCGAATTACATTAAAAATATACTAATAAAAGAATTTTCTTGTCTTCTTACTCTTATTCTTTCTATACCATTTAATATAATTGGCCCACAAGATGTTTGTGAAATGTTTTTTTTTTGTTTGGATAGAGAAAGTATCGACATTCAGTGTAGGCGAAACCGAGCGATGTGATTAATTCTGATGATTCATTCATGGCAGGTACACAATCTTTCGTAACACATATATATATATATATATATCTATGAATTTTCCTCCTATACCTATTCATTCTATCGCTGCACTATCATCAAATGCAAAGTCTATATTTCTACCCACTTGTGCAAGTTATGAGTCATAAAAGAAGGAAGAAGAAAAAAAATTTCGTAATTACATCGCTTCTCGTCGTGCACGTCAGTGGGAAAAGGAACAGAGGAGAGTCAGTATATGTTTTTGGATGCCTTTCTTTTTTTCTCATTTTTCTTGTCGCACTTTAAATCTCAATTCTTCATCAATTTCGTAGTATTTCAATAATTATTCATTCAACAAAAAAAAAATAAACATAATAGATTGTGTACTTGACTAAGAATTGCAAAATATTTGAAAAATGAAGCTTTCATGCAATGTGCAACCTAATGAATCATTATTTCTATTTTGATTTTCATGTGTGTTTTTTTTTCTATTGCCATCGTATTCTTTATAGATCGTAGAATTCAATGCGAAGTACTATGAATTCATCTTATACTCAACAACCTCTCATTCGACCACCACTTCTGGTATGTTTTCTTTCTTCATTATTCGTTCTTTCTTTGTATGTTTTCATTTAAAAAGGTGTCCGAAATTTCATATGGAAATAATGCTGGTAGTTACATACAACAACCGCCATATCAAAGTTGTCCGATACTCAATACTCCTTCGACAAATTACAATCAACCAACATCGTTCTATCTTCGTAAGCTTAATCTCTTAGATTGAATTTATTCTCGTCGAATAATATCAGGTTTTTTTCCCCGTTTTACAGCTCAACAACCAAATCAACTAAATCATTTACCACAAATTCCATTTGCTCCTACAGATAGTTTTTTACAACAATCATCAGTTGCATCACAGTGGAATCCACAACAAGTAAATCCATCTGAATTAGTAGCCAATATAATTTAATATCGATTGAAAAATGTGTTTTTTTTTCAGATCACTTGCCAACAATCATATGGGTCCACTCATACCTATTTTGATTCAACAACTTGTTTACAACCAGATTTATCTACATCGATAGTTTATTCATCGCAATCAAGACCTAGTCAGATTCGACAAAAGAATATTTTGCCTATCAGAGATCCAGCATCGAAAGAGATTATCAATCTTGGAGATGAACAATCTTCTCCTTCATCTTCATCAAACAAATCATCATCGATTGATTCAACATTGAAATTGCCGATAGCCTCAAAACATACATCCAATATTCCATTGAAGTTTGTCGAGAACACAACTTTTAGCAAAAATATAGAACAAGAATGTCACCAAGAATCAGAACATTCAACATCTATATTACCAACAACATTTGACAATCAATCCCTATCGATCAATTCAGATCTATCAGAATCTCATATTTTAAATGCTTCTGAAAATAAAGAACAATTGAAAGATGAGGTCGACAATATCCAACATGGAGAAGAACTTGTAGCTACACCAGTGAAGGAGACAGATATCGAAGACGGAACCAATTTGTCTGATAGCCTGAAACTTCATGAACAGTCAGATATAGAATCAACGACAACGGTAAGTAAATCTTCTTCCTAAAACCCAGTGGATGGTGTTCCATGTTACCGTTTGATGCATCCTAGAACAACACTAAAGAAAAGCATGAGAGCTAGCGAAAAGTCGACATATCGTACAAATTAAAACATATGTTTCTATGTATGAACATTAGTGTACTACTGTCTCGTGAAATTCTGCTTCTTCTTTCGAAGAAAAAAGACAATAGCCATAAATACTTTAATACATATCTACTTTTTTTTTCTCAAAATTTGATTATTAAACTCTTCATCAGAAAAAAAACCTCTTAGAAAAAATGCCGTAGAAATTATATATTACTGGCCTAGCATGAATTTGACTTATACAATATGAAATTAGTGAAATGATCATGGAGTCAAATTCGAATGAAAAGCAAATGAAACGAATAGAAGATCGGACATTGATTTTATTCTCTTGTAATTTTAGTGTGAAGGTGAAACATCATCAGATGTACATAATGATACAAAAGAGACTAGTGAAAATAACTTCTTCATCGAAACAACCTATTCTTCAAATAATGACATTCCATTTGAATCAACTCTATCCATTCCGAATATATCGATTTCCAGTTCAAATTTTCAATACACTCGACAAAAATTACTCGCATTACGTGCACATCGATTATCAAAAATTCGACCGGCCAGTTTGCCAAATATTCCAACGATCGTTTTAGCAAAACCAAATATTCCAATTAATACCGATAGCGAAGTAAATGAACAAGTTCTTCGCGAAGTTCGACTTATTTTAAATAAGATTACACCTGATACTTATGAAAAATTATTGAAAAAACTCGAATCACTCGACATATGCAATCGTGTTCGATTAGAAGGCATGATCAATATTTTCTTCACTAAGGTCTATTAAAAACAAAAGCAAAAAAAAAAATGAACCATTTTCTTTCTAACATTTTAGGCCATCGAAGATATTTCCTTTTGTCATATTTATGCTAACTTATGTAAATATTTTCAAAAGGTATCGTTTTCATTGGTGCTGTTTTTTTTTTCTTCTGGAAAGATTTATCTATTGTTTTAATGTTAATCTTTTTCATTTAGAAACAAGTGACTGTACCCGATGAGAATGATATAATGAAGACATATGTTTTTCAAAATCTTTTATTACAACAATGTCAACAGGAATTTGAAAATGATTATCGACAAGAGATTGAATATGATCGACGTAAAGCAGAAATTGATCAAATTGTCAATGATGAAATAAAAAAGAAAGAAGAAATTGATAATTTAGATGAAAATCTTGCTCGAGCTAAACGAAAAAAATTCGGCAATATTGTGTAAGTCAAATAAATAATTGAGAGATGAAAATTTTTCATTTGTTAATATTAGTTTCATCGGTGAATTATTCATCGTACAAATGCTTACCGATTCAATCATGTACCAATGTATTGATTATTTATTGAATGAACATGATGATGAAGAAAGTCTTGATTGTCTCTGTCGTCTTTTACGTTCCGTTGGTGAAACACTCGAGATTAAAGCAAAAAAAAACGTATGTAATTATAGATATTCTTTTCTTTTTTTGTCATTCAAAACTTAAAAGTAACCTTCGTTACTGAGAAAAAAAATTTAGCGAAGCACCCATAGAGCTAAAATGTGGAATACTGCAGCAACAGATGTTTGAATTCGCGATTAAAACGAATAAAAAAAAATTTCAAATCACCAAAAAGTCTCGCATAATTCCAACCGATATCATGTGGATTAGTGTTCTAAAGACCATGACGTACATTGAATCATACGAGATAAATAATCTTCTTTATTCTTCAACTAATATCATCATGACTTTTGTTTAATCTGACAGAGATGGTGTCAAATATTGTAAATTATAACACAGAATGAAAATTCTGTATACACACAAATGAATCAGTACCAAGATTAATTTTACTTGATCATTTTTTCGCTTATACATTTTAACATGCATTTTACAATTGTGCTTCAAAAAAAAAAAGAAATCAGAATGAGAGTAACAAGCAGAACAGAAAATTTTCCAATACAAACTTTTTCTTCGCGTTGAATTCCGATAAAGTTGACATTTACCACATTCTAGAATTATCTTCTTATATTTCTCAAAAATAAAAATTAATATTTTTCTTTAATATCTATTTTAGTCTAATACAAAAAAAATTTTACTCACACATTATCGTAAATTAGAAAATATTACTCGACAATCGAATATATCATCACGAATTCGTTTTGCCATTCAAGATATAATGGAGATGCGAAAAGTAAAAATATTGTTTATTTATATTTCATTATGATCAAAATGATTTCATTTCAGAATGGTTGGATTGCTCGTCGACCACAAGAGAAACCGAAGAAAATCGAACAAATTCATGAAGAAGAATTACAACGAGAACGCAATGAAGTGAAAAAAATCGGGCACAATGGTCATCATTCGCAATCGTATAAAGGTTCACATCGTAGTCAGGAACAACTTACTGTTAAGAAGCCAGAATTGAATCGTTCTGATCATCGATTCGTCGTTGAATCATTACGACGATTGCAAGCCGATGACAAACAGTATCAAGGATCAACTGTGAGTCAAATGTAAAACATGTTTGATTTTTATTATTCTTTTTTTTTTATGTATAGAGTCTCAAATTTGCACCGATGGGTGGTTTGAAGAAATGGTCAACTGTTGAAAAAAAGACAGTTAAGAATGACCAGTCGATCACAAATCGGTAAGATGACAAAAGAATTATACTGAACATAAAATATATATCTCTCTCTCTTTCGGATTATAGTCATAATACATCTTCACCTTCAAGTCCACAATCACCAAAGACAAATCGATTTTATCAATTACACTCCATGTCTAACAATTCGCCAATTGAGGTACGTCTTTGAACAGACCTTGACGAGGAGAACTCATTACGTGAAAATTTTTTGTTCCAAAGTTTGAAATTAAATACTAAACTGCTTGGCTTTCGTCTAAGAATTATTTGTATTTCATACATGATGATTACAATGGATTTTTATTATCACTTTTAGAATCAGACACACCCAACCCGTGAGAACAATGCCTCCAAATCTGAAAACACAAGCCAATTACTCAAGAAAAATGTTAGCGAAGATTATCGGAGAAATTCTTCGATTAATAGTAACACATCATTATCATCAGACGAAATTGAAAATAAGAAAACAATATTATTAGACGAAGAAAAGATTCTTGAACGTGTTCGTTCACTTGTTAAAGAATACACTGAAAATTATTCTACTCAAAGTGATGTACCAATTCGAGTATGTCAAAATAATTTCATTCGTTTTTTTTCTTGTTCTCAGTAGCATAACATTCTGAGATTTTGTTTTTCTTAGGATGCAATCGATGATTTCATTGATTTTTGTACATCGAATGTTAAAGAACAAGCATTGATCGTTCAAGAACTTATGACAAATGTACTCGAATCAAAAGCATTGGCACGTGTAGCTATTGGACGATTGCTTGATGCAGTCATTCATAAGAAAATTCTATCTAATGAAGGATTTCTATCTGGGTACGTCAAATTTAACTTAAGAGAAAAAAACAATAATCAGACTTGCTGATAAATTTTCAAACTAAAATGAAGTCTAGTGTTATTAGGGAATACAATCATGAGAAATGTGTTACTTTTCAATTCTGTGTAATAAACGATTTTCTGATTTTTCTTATACAGATTTCAATCGGTTGTCGATCTGGCTCCTGATTTAGCTATTGATATTCCTCATATTTGGCAATATATCGGCGAAATAATTGGTATGTATAATAGTTAAGTTTTATATCAACTAAACTGAATTGTTTAGGTTCATTTCTAATTGGTACATCATCATCATCTCATATTGATTTGCTCACAGCCATTTTTCAAAAGATTCCAGATACAAAATCGAAACAAATGTTTGAATATATCATTCGATATGCTGTAGAATTTTCAGTAAGTGTTTATTTTTTTGTTTTAATTTTATACTGTTATTTTATTTAGTCGAAAGAACATGTTCGAAAACTATGGCAATCGTCGACTCTCACATTCGAGAAAATTCTTAAAGTAGACTTGATCGATTCTGCATTCGTTCATGAATTTGAATGGCTAATCAATAGTTCATCAGCTCAACCTGATCTTGAACTCGTCAAACTATTCAAAAATATCAATAATCAAGACTCAGATATTGTTGCTTATATTAATCATGTATGTGCATATTTATCCATTAAAAAAATAATAGTAGATTTGTTTCAATCATTTTTTTTCTATGTTAGCATTTGAATTCATCGGAAAAATTCTTCATTCGTACAATTGTTTTCTCCTATCTCGAGTCATGTTTGATGATCGGTCAAAATCAAGAGAAACGAATTCAAGAAGATATTGCTCGAAGTCATATTGGAGTTCTTAAAGCGTTTATTAACAATAGTTCGGATATTGAAATTCAAATTATCTATGCCATTCAACATTTTGTTTATCAATTTGATCATCCACCGAGTAAGATAATTTAAAATTTTGATCAATAATCATATATTTTCGTTATGTTTAGAAATGGCTGCATTTTTCTTCGATCTTTTCTATGAAGAAGATTGTGTTAGTGAAGATAGTTTTTTTCAATGGTGTGAAAGTCCAGATCCGTTGGAAATTGAAGGTATGAAGATTTCAATTTTTATAATATAATTTTCTAACATCATTATTTTGCTTATTCAGGACATACAAATATAGTGAACTCAACGACGAATTTTTTTACCTGGTTAAAAGAAACGGATGAACAGGAAACATCTTCTTGATATAGAGTTGATAGATTTTTATTTTTTAAAGTCAATGCTAAATACTCACCGTCTGAATAGTTGGCAGGATTGTGTCAACAATTTTCATGTTTTTCCATAATTTAATAAAAGTACGATATTGAATATGAATCAGATCTATCATTAATCAAATGTATTTCAAATTTAATACATACTGATTTGGAACACTCTCGTCAATTATAATTCAGAAGATAAATATTTTCTCATTCGGAATCATTGCTAATCTGTTGAAAGAAGTTTTAATAGTTGGTATATTGATTTGTGAATAGTAATACTATGCTAAACAATTGTTCATTATGTAATCTATCTCCAACAAAAGAAACTTTCATATTGATACCCTAAAATATTAAAACATGACTAGGATTCGAGTTGATAATCAAAATTATTTATAATACAAATTTTACAGAAGAAAATTCCTGTAGAAAAACAAAATGAATATAGTATTCACTGGTTTGTGTCTAACCAATTATACATATGATCTGATGCTGTTAGGCAATCAATGGATTAAATATGTCTTTTTTTATCATATGACTAGTTGTGGACATAAGAAACGAGTGCTAGCGCACGACTCTTTCAGTTTCATTATGATAGTGAGATAGTTCAAGTTCATAAGTTCAGCTAAATTGTGAATTAGACAAAATTCATTTTACTTTACGATTAGTTTCCTTTCGATGTATTATTCTTCGATTTTACCATCATCATATCAGATTACACTATTTCTTCTTTCATTTCACATTTCGCAGAATTAACAAGCAAAAATTATTTAATTATAAATAAAAATCAATATCTGTGTCAGAAAGAATAATAAGCAATCGAAACGAGTTGAATGACTATTATCAATAGTAATCACTATTTGCTATTAAACTAGGAACCGGATTTGAAACAGCAAATTTCAAGAAACAACTATTGATACGAAATCCATCACGTGGTAGAATCCATGAAAAAGAAACGCAGTCTGAATAAGAGCGACACCAATTGCCACGCGTTCCACTAACTAAATCCACACTATAAAAAAATATTCATAGGGAATTGTCATATTATCGGAAGCGAAAGAATTCACTGTTGACACTGAAAAGCCAGAGAGACGATAATATTAGAAACAAAGAAGAATGGACGAACTTACTAGTCGTTGTTACCGATTCAATGGTTGCTATTGTCACAATTGTCTCGGCGATTGTCGTAAAAGTTCATAAAGTCGTTACTGGTTGATCAGTAATTACGTAGAATGAGAACGAGTTATAGATCGTTTTTCATATTTGTTTCTCTCTAATCGCAAATTCGCAATCCCCGCATCGATCTACTATCTGATCAATACTATTGAATCGTGAGAATATCAACAGAAGGAAAATTGAATGTCTGAAGAGATCATAGCCAATAATAAATGTGGCTTCAGTTAGATGAACGATCTTTTGGAAAAATGGCATATTCCTAAATGATGAATTCAGTTTAGCATTTAGCAGAAGTATGGTCCAGAATAACTGAGCCTTCAATATATTTAATCTTTGTTGATTGTTCATGTTTTCATTTCATTCATATTAAGAGACCTCTCGGGATGCAAAGAAGACTTTAAAAGAAATATTCGATCGGATGCGATGGAAAATAATTACAAGGATTTTTATTATTACAAATCTATGGATACTCGTACAGGTACATGAAACATGATTGAGGAAATCTTTTTTCAGTAATAGAGAGAACAATAATAAACTCTACTTGAAGAACTCATTCTCGTGATCGTACCGACCTTGTGTTCTACAGGCCACAGTTTTTTTCTCGTTTCCATCGCATTTTCATTTAATACCGTGTGCCCTAGCATTCGAAAAGCGTGCTTTGTCTTTGTGAAACACTGATCTAGGTCTCTATGAGAAGGGCGTGGGTGTGGGTGTTCTCAATCCATCCACATCCACATTCACACTCACACCTCAATGAATTTGGAAAAAAACATCAAGGCTTATATTTGTGTCATCATCAAAAATGCCATTTTTTTCATGTTTTTGACATAAAATTCATGAAAGTCATGAGCTTTCTTGATTTATTTGAGTCACTGGGCTTGCTCGAAAACGATCAGTAACCTTAAATAAATAACCGACACTTATTTCGATAGCTGCAGAGATTTATTAATTAGTGCTGAAAATCTCTGAAAAGTGTTGCAAATTCAATAGATACCAATGAATATATTTTCGATGTGAGTGAAGAGGTGACAATTATTCAAATAGCTATGGAAGCTTTAAGTAGCTATGAACATGTTTAAACAGGTACGCATTGATTTACATAGCTATAAGATGTTTAAATAGTTGTGGAAGCTTTAAATAGCTATAAGACTGCTTAAATAGCTATGCAAAGTTTAAATAACTATGAGAATGTTTAAATAGCTATAGATGCTTTGAATAGCTATCGAAGAATTAAGTTGCTATGTAAGAATTAGATGGCTGTGAGGGCTTTAAATAGCTATGACAGAATCAAGTAGCTACGAATCGTTCAAAAGCTTTCGCATAAGTAAAAATTGTATCTCTTTTGATGGTGAGCCCGTGGGCTTGTCATTCGATACATACTGCAATCTCTATGTCACTGATCGAAATAATAATCGAGTACAAACATTCACATTCATACCTAGTTGACGTTGTTTGTCGTTAATAACTGATTATATCTGACGATCCTATGCTTTTTCTGCGCCACATCGAAATGGCTGTGAAGATCAGTGTACATGCTAGGGTGAATGCAGCTGAAAGGTAGAGTCCAACCCATCTCACAACCGATATCTACACCCACCCTAGGAAGACAAAAATTTTGGAAGACGCGTGTAAACACACAAAAAAGTCGAAAAATGGGTGTTTTTCGCTCACAATTGCGGTCCTCGATTATGAGAGAAAAACGACAACTTTTCTGCTTTTTTGTCCGTTTGCACACATTTTTCGCCGTTCTTTTACAGAAAAAAATATGTAAACGGCCAAAAATGAGGCAAAAACTAGTCGTTTTTTCTGTCACCATCAGAAATTACGATTATGAGAAAAAGTTCACTTTCTCTGCTCTTTGTGCGTTTAAACAGGTTTTCGGCAATATGTGACTGCTTGGGAGGCGATAATACATGAATAAACCATCATCAGAAAATTCAAACACATCATGAGATACTAGGAATGCAACAGTTCATCACTAATTCTCCTGTAAATATTCTTGGATTACCACCCAAGCAGTCACATATCGCCGAAAACCTGTTTAAACGTACAAAGAGAAGAGAAAATGAACTTTTTCTCACAATCATAATTTCTGATGGTAACAGAAAAACGATCAGTTTTTGTCTCGTTGGGCGTGGGTGTGGGCGTTTATGTACTCACATCCGCACCCCACACTCACACCCTTGATAACTGATTTTATTCGTTCTTGAAGTTAAAATATTTTCATTCAAGCTCTGATATACAACAATAGATAAATCATATACGCAGCTTTTTTTATCGTCGCTCTCTTAATCTTTATCGTCTTTTCATCGGTAATATAAAGTCGCATGAAAATAAAATATCACTCGAGCGCCATAACTGTCTATGCAGAAAAGAAAAATGCATTGTGTTACTGCTCTAATCGTTCTTGATCTCCTGATCACACTACTCATGCAACAAATAAATACGCAACAAATTCCATTCGATACAGTGGTAATCTTTGGCGACTCACACTCGGATACAGGTAATGTTTATAAATTAACAAATCAACTATGGCCTCGACCGCCATATTTTCAAGGTCGATTTTCAAATGGTCCTATATGGGTAGACAAGTTGGGCGTGTCCAATATAATTAACTATGCTCATGGTGCTGCCACGACTGATAACAGTTTTATTCAAAGCATTATGTGGTCACAGTCA